GAAGTTAACCCGCAGAATGGGTCAAACAATTTTGCGATGTAACTGCATACGTGTTCTAAGATTTCAAACAAAACTGTCGCACAGAGACTTTGATACCCGAACGGGCGAGTCCTTTATTTTTAGTATCTACCTAACATCGAGTGGAAATTCAAATCGTATGAGATTGAATTAATGTGATTAAAAACTATGAAAATATTATTATTATAATTAATCATCTTCTTTACAATTAATAAGGTACAATTATCGGGGCTGAATTTAGGGGGGACATTGGCTACAACTGCCCCAGGCACCAGTTTTTTGGGGGGCGCCAACATTTTGTGGTCGGAAATTTTCTCACTTGTTAATTATTGAACTTTTAAAATTATTTTGAAGTTATTATTTTTTTTTTGTTTTTAATAACAGTATCATAAATTAATGTTAATGTATTTAATTTATTAATATATATTATTAATGTATTTATATCAATATAGCTACATAAATATCAGCGATCCAGAAAATTATTAATATACCTTACTAATATTAGTTCCCTAATTTGTTGTGATAATGTCAATAAACATAAGTTATTTATAATAATACGGTGTATTATATTATCGCTTGCGGCGTGCGGTGGTGTGCCTACTACATAAAAATAGCATGATTTTAGAATATCTAAAAGGTTCATAAGGATCTATCTGCCAGTTTACTATTTTCAAAATAATCCATATATAATGGGCTCCAATGTCATAACAATATAAGTAATAATAATAATAAAAATAATGTTTATTTTGCCAACAAAAAAAAAAGATTCAATACATTTACAAATATATAGACATTTTTTAACGTTAGTCCAGTGCTTGAATTGGGAAAAATTAAGTAGGGCAGCAACGATTTAAATACTGTGTTTGGAGAGCAAAATTACTTAATAGATATCCGTGAGGGACTTCACCCCTACCATACCCTATATGACCTATGCTATAGACACAAAATTGCACGTTTTTAAAAATTTGGTGTCTCAGGGCATATCATTTATTCCCCCTCCCCCAAAATAAATAATAATAATATAACACTTATTTTTTCATTCATAATCGAGATTCTTTAATATTAAAATATAACTTATAAATGAAAATCGTTTAATACCTTTTTTAATTAACAAATTAAACAAATTAAAACATAATGTTTTATTTTTTTTTTCATTAGGTACATAATTTTTAAAATTAATTTTGCTAAAATATTTTGCTACCCCTGAGACTTGACGCCCCCGGGTATATGCCTACCCGCGCCCCCCTAAATACGGGCCTGATCATATAGTACTATTCTATATATTAAAAATGTTTAAAATAAAGGCATTTTAAAATAAAATGCACAGTAGGCCTATTTGAGCCAGTCTGATAAAGCAGTTGCAACAAACTTACCTGAATTTTGAATACCATCTTTAAAGTATCAAAGCTGTAATACTATAATATAAGAATAATATAAGGGTAGGTATTGAAAGTCATAAAGTTTACTTTCGGTGTAAATAGGTACATGGATAATGTAAATATTGTTATTGTATGGGAAGTTCTGTTTGATAAATCAATATTTAATATTTTGAGAGAAACACGTACTAATGTATCAATGTATGAGGTAGAAAGACTAGGTCAGTAATAATTGTATTTTAGGCTATCGAACAGCCGTCATAACTGAAACATTTTTACATGTGTTGTGGAGTAGGTTTAATGTATGATGGTTACCTATTATTTAATATTTGCTTGACTTAGTATTTCTCCCTACACTGTATTATAAAATAATAATAATGTCTACGTGTTTTAAGCTTGACCGATGGGATACGATTATGTCAATATAATTAGAGTAGTATTGTGGAGTTGTTGCTATACGTATATTTAAGCTATAATTCAACAAAAATTAAGTTCACAAATTTTATTTTTTTAACTAAATAAATACATCATGATTCATGATATACGTAAATTATTTTTAGAGTTGATTGAGAAATTACATTTTTAGAATGTTTTAATAATAATGTGTTAAAATTCGACTTTAGATTAAATTATCGAAAAGGCATAAAATAAATATTTAATTTTTAGATTTAACTTTTCACTTTTACGCGTGCACTCCTAGCGAAAAATCCTAGCAAGCAGACGTACAGTATTCAATGACCTGCTTTATCTAAGTCATTAAGAGAAACAATATCGTCGTTATGCAAGTAATATGATTATATTAATTTGCATAATTTACCCACCAATATAAATTTACAAATCAAAAAGTCGGACTTTGAACAATGAAATAAATTAACAAACCTACAGCACTAACTCTCAACCATCAATAATCTTCCAAAAATAACATGTCAGTTTCTCCAATAAAAATAATTAAAAACAATGTCAGCCCAAATAATTGGCATACGGTACCGATGAAATCACCTAATTCACCTAAACCAAAAATTCAATAAAACAAATTTTCTTCCAAGTCAGTTAACTCGGTCCTCGTCGAAAACGAAAAAGCCAACGTAATTTGTAGTTGAATGCAATCCCAAGAAAACACCAACGTCCCAACCAAAATACTACCTATATATATAAAAAATAAAATCGACAACTTTGAATTTTGCAAAAAAATCAAACCTCTAACTAACCCCGAAGGGCTTAACAAATACCCAAAAGACGTAAATTCCCCAGCACATGCTCTCTTTGCAATGGGGCCCACCCAGCATCTTACAAAGGATGTCCCAAATTTAAAAATATTCAAAAAGTTCGAATACTAACAAAACCCGACGGGTCATCTGAAACTCAAGACACCACCACAGCTTCAATCAATATCAACACTATCCATGACAACAATTTTCTCCCACTTTGTTAACCCCAATGGAGCACCTCTTAGTCTAATTCCTAATCATCTCTAAATACACATTCTTATCAACAAAAAAAAACCTATAAAAACAAATACTATCGCTGAACCGTGCAACAATTCAAACACCGACTCCATTTTAACCCAATTAACCAATTTCCTAGCCCAATTTCAATCTTTAATAAGCCCTCTTATCCCACTACTCACTAAAGTCATCGACTCATTACTAATAAAATAACCCACGCACACTTTTCACTCCTATCATTCCTCCTCTGGAACGCAATGGCCAACAAAACCATTACCACGATCTGCATCTTTGCCTTAACTCCAGAAATATAGACATTGTACTTATCATTGAAACACATCTTACACCCAACAAAACTCTATTTCCAAATTATTCCACTAACTGAACTGAACACCCCGACGCACTGTTCATGGTGGCTCAGCAATATTTCTATGTAATAATATTAAACGCAGTATCAGTCTCCGTCTGCTAATAAATCAATACAAAGTTCAAATATCCTAGTTGACTTTAACAATATAAATACTACCATTCAGTGGCGTATTTACGGGGGGGGGGGGTCCAGGGGTACTGGACCCCCTCCCCAGAACCTCTCCAAAAAATAAAAAATAAACTAAAATTCTTACATATTTGCAGAATTGGCTATGTTAAACATTCAGAGGGAAGTTGAAATTACTATTGATGAAGTGATAGAGGAGTTGGCCAAAAAATTGAGACAACTAGAATTTATTTTATAACAATACTTTATAATATATAATGTTAAATACAATATATAGGTATATATATATATATAATCAGGGCCGGATCTAGGGGGGGGAAGTCGGGGATTTATCCCCGGGCGTAACATTTTAGAGGGTGTAATTTTCGTAATTATTAACGACTAATTTGATATTTTTAACTTCGTTAAATACTGATAGTAGGTTAAAACTCAATGAGTACGATTGTATATCGATTATAAGAACACAATTTATTTGAGTATTTGTTTATTAGTCTATGGATAGGGCGTAATTTTAACATTTTACCCGGGCGTAAAAATTCCTAGTTCCATCTCTGTATATAATATTACATAAGACTATACGATTATTACATTATATATTTAGTTCAACTTCCTCCAAAAACTGCATAAGGATGTAACTATTACAATATAATATATAGTTTATATTAGTTATGTATAAACTGTGGCCCCCCCCCCCCAGAAAAAATTGAAAATACGCCACTGCCATTGTTTCTGCATATTTCCCTTCCGAAAATCCAATCAACGAAAATATTTTAATTGATTTTTCTTCTTTCAATAAAAATTATGTTATAGGAGGTGACTTCAATTTAAAACACCCATCTTGGGGTAATAACACTACCAAATCTACACAAATTTTAACTAATTTTAACCTACGTACTATCTCACTCTTACACCAATTGGCCACCTATTGGGCTTCCCATCCAAACCGTAACTCCGACATACTTGACTTTTTCATAGTTAAAATTTCTCCAACCATACAACACTCAATAATAAATATAAACGAACTTTGCGAGGATAATACAGTGTGGTACTCTCTTTAAATGCTACTTCCTCGATTAACGACAAAGAAAACTTATCAAATTATCTCTTGGGCAAAGTTCAAACATGTCATAAATGACAAAATATTCCTAAAAATATCACTAAAAAATATACTCGATAACGACTTAGCAGTACTTAAATTAACTATTAATATTCTAAGCTCAGTTTCAGATTCTTTATCTAACTCAAAAACCATATTAAATTTAACAATATTCCAAAAATTCTAAAATAAATGATTTATTAAAAAATGTAAAAAATCTTTAATTCATTATTACTTGTTGTGATTAATTGTATAGTTGTATAATTAATTGTTAAATAAACAAATAAAAAAAGATTTAATTATTTGGTATTGTTGTCATAAATACCAAATATAATTTGCATAAATTATGTTTTTAAAATATATCAAGTAATAACTCTCTATTCTTATCACAAGTGTTTGATATTATTATAATAAATTCGGAATTAATTTCCAAATATGATTTAAAATTTAAATTTGACGTTTTATTCATAATGTTACAATATTTATTACTTACATCAAGAGAAGTTTTTAAAATCTTCATTGCTAAAAAAAAAATGTGTTAGTAAAAGTTTTCAAATTAGGTTGAATAAAAATCTGAAGAACCTCATCAATATTTAAATTTCAAATATCATAAAATAAAAAAAAATCCAATTACCACCTAGTGCCTTAAAGTGGTGAGTATATATATTTTTAATTATATCATATTGTATATTATATAATATAATATAATATAATATTATATATTATATATTATTATATTATCATATTATATTATATATTATTATAAAATAATTAATCGATTATTTAAACCCGTTAGAGTATTTAGAAGAGTGGTAAAATAACGTAAGAATATCTTACGACTATACATTTATCCATAAATTACTACTTACGATCAATTGATTACAATAATGTGCTGTTGATTGATAATGTGAAACATTTGGTGTACATTTTGAATTTTCGGTATGCAAAGTCTATTGTTAATAATTCACTAAGAGAGTTTCTTCTGTACTTTCATACATATATGTTAGAAGCGTATTTTGATAGGTAATAAAATATTAATTTGAAATAGACGCTAAACTTTAAATTCAAAGTTAACTTCAACATAATTAAAATATAAGGAACTAGTTATATATGTAAATTAAATAATTTGTTTTAGCGAAATAATGCAATGTAAGTTCTAATATAAATAAAGTAAAAAAAAAAAGTTGTATCTATATTAAAATAATGTGTTATTACGAAAATCATCATACAAATGACAGCGTTGTTATTCTTTATTTTTGTAACTAAATTAAAAAAAAACCCCTTTAACCATTTGACTAGGGACAATGAATGGCCAATTTCCTGGTAGCCCTGAAGCGTGATACTGTATTTAGCCTTTAATTATTGTTTTTTCTTATTTTGTTGTAAGATATAAGCGCGTTGAATAAAGTTTTTTCCTAAAAACACACTGATACTTATTTATGTATGTATATATATGTATTATACGACAAGACGTAGATACAATTATCTCCCGTAGGTTTTTAGGTAAATGTTTTAAGAATTGTATTCACTATAACAGCTCCGATGGACAATAAAATTAATAATAATAATAATACATTTTTATTGTAATAAAGAAGGTTATAAGAGTAAATGAGGGGGTGACATATGGAATGGATGAGCATATTCCTGTATACGTACAAATAAAATCACATGCATGTTTAAATACAAGTTGTTTGCCCCATTCTATAAGTACACTGAGTGTGATTCCATTGAATAATACTATACTTAAATTTAACCAAATTTGTCTCTGATTAGGTTATGAATATACAGTTCCTATAAGACAAACGTGTGTTATATACCTGCATAGTCAATCAACATAATAATAAACTGGTAAAACTCTTAGCTAGGATGAGATATCGAGACGCATGAATGATATTACTATTTTGATCAGTTAAACTTGATAAAAATGTATCATTGCTCTCGAAAAAACAATTTCAAGAAAAAAAGGTCGAGAGGTCGAGTAAATCAGGTTATATTTTTAAAGATGGTTTATATAATAGTAGAAGTGAATTTCTTAATAACGCTGGTTGAATTTTTAATGTTTTAACTTTTTCAAGAAAAAAAAGATATTTTCTAGGAAGTAGGTAAAACATTATATATTATATATATTATTATATTAAAATGTTATGTCCATCCGTGTTATCGAACCACAACCTATTAAAATTTGGGAAAAATCGAAATTTCAAGTGTCTATAAATCGCACGACATTTTTTGAAATATTTCGAAACATGGAATGTCTTTAAAATGTTATTTACATAATTAATTATTAAATATTTCAAGTCGCTATGATTAATATTTATAAAAAAAAAAAAAAACCAAATATCTAATGTTCTATAATCAAAATTCATTTAAATACCAGATTTCTCTAAAATTAAATTTTCTAATGTTTAAAAATATTATTAGGATAATATTTTTTTTCCTTTTTTTACTACAAAGAAAATCCCATGAAAAATCTCCTATCTTTTAGTTTAGTAAGTATAAAAATTGAAAGTTATATGAATTTCTAACAACAAAAATGTAGTCGATTTTCGTGATTTTTGTCGTTTAGTCAAAATTATATAGGTATCCAAACGTTCATAAATATTTTTTGAAATTAAGTTCAATTTTTTTTTATTAACTAATAAAAGATATATATGAGTCATTATGTACTTATTATGTTTTCAAGACATTTTGTTGAACAATAAACATCTTATCAATAATTTACAAAAATAAGCTAAGGAAATATGACATTTTCAAGTATATAAAAAAAACTTGAAAAAGTCAAAATCTTTTGAAAATTGTACTATATATAGAACGAACTAATAATGATATTACAATTTAGTGAAAATTTCAAGTTTCTACAGTTATTCTTTTTAAACAATGAAAAAGCCAGTACTTTGTAAATTTCGCTATTTTTTGTATACATTGTCGTTAGTTTTTTATAATTATTAAGAACATTTTTGGAATATTCGTAAAATAACCACACATGATTACCAATCAGATATTATTTCCTATTTTTTAAATCCATGTTTGTGATGATATTGCGTATCCCTTCAAGTTGAAATTTTGTACACAGACTTACAATAAAAAATAGAAAAGCACTTCGTGGTGAAACTTACATCCTCTTTGTTTCACTCAGAATCAAAATAACGATATATTAAGTGGTACTTAATTAATATTTAAATATTATGAGTGTATTATAACCAGGGTTCGTAAGTTCATGCACTAAAAATGCCTAAATAAGCTTTCATGCATTTATACACTTAAAATTGGCAAAATATGCTTTGAAATATGCCTTAAAAAGTTCAAAAATATGCTTTTATATACACTAAATATTTAAAATTATGAACATAAAAAATTCTTACTTAAAAAAATCATAAATAATTTTTTAAATTACATGAATTATCCATTCATTTTTTTATAGCTATATTTTATTTTTTTATTTCACTATTAAAAAAAAAAATAGATTTTAAATACTATTTAATACTATTCTTGGGCCTTCATGAACTGCATACTCATGTACATCTTTGTCAGTAATTAATTTTAAATCTGAATCTTTTGAAATAAATTTATTCATTAAATGTATAAGTATCAAGTAGATAAGAAAAGAAAAGATGATACAATTTTCATTTTTAATTTTATGTATATTTTCCATTAAGATTTCTGATAGATTCTAATAGAATGTTGTATAATATACCCGATAAAATATAAATATGCATTAATATGCCAAATATACAAAAACATGCCAAGTATGCAAAAACATGCAAAATAAGATTTCACATATTTAACCATGGTACCTTAAAATGGATTTCTATGTCATCTAGCATTAAATACAACTTTGCAAGATTGATATACAAATGCATGAATTTACGAGCCTTGATTATAACTATTATAGTATAATAGTTACATAATATACCAATTGTTACGAATATTTTTTCAATCCATCGATGTAATTTGAATATACTATAATTATTATTGTGTGATTAACGACAACTGTATGGACAGTTAACTAGTTAAGTTATACATAAAATTGTTATACACATGATTTTCATATTTCAGCAGCTTAGTTATAAAACTTATAGATGTTTTAATTTTAAAGTTTGAGCTAGTTAATAAAGCGAAAATATTGGAATTAATTTTTTTTTTTTTTAATTCCAAACGTGGGGGAGGAGGCTATTTTCTCTTTTAATATAATATGTTTTTTTTTTTTTTTTATTTTAATACGTAATATACAATCTATATCAAACGACACAATAAGCATATATGATAAGGGGTACAGATAACATGAGTATACAAAATATAAAAAGTGAATAAAGAAGCCACCCAATGATGACACTTAAATGTTGATAGTTTAGATGAAAAATGTAAATGAATTAAATATATTTAATAAGTTAGTATTTTTTTTTTTTTTTTTTTTCTATATTACAATTTGTAACAGGTCTCTACACCATTCACGTTTTAATCGTCTAGGAGGACTGCCGGGGATTGAGAGGGAGGAAAGGTTTTTAATTAAAGGATTTGAGTGGGAGGAAAGACGGTTGTGGAATCTTTTGTAAAAGTGTTTAGCTTCCTCGTGGATAGTTTTTAATTTTAGGTCTGTATGGAGAGTATGGTTAGATATGTATGGGGGAGCATTTATTAATTTTCTTAGCGCAATGTTTTGAAAACATTGAATTTTATTTAAATTTGTCTTTTTTGCACTTCCCCATAGCTGTATCCCGTACGTCCATATTGGTTTCAGTAGTGTTTTGTAGATAAGGAGTTTGACATGAAGGGAGGTGTGTTTATTAGTGACTAGAGGTTTGAGGATACGAAAGCGGTTGTTCAGTGAAAGTCTTTTTGCTCTAATATGGTGGGCCCAAGTTAATCTTTTATCTAATGTAAGACCAAGGTATTTAACTGAAGGAGAGGATGGAATTGGAGCACCGTACAGAGTTACCTCAGGGGTAAGAGCTGGTCTAAGCGTAAAGGTGGTGTGTATAGACTTGCTATGGTTTAATTTAAATCTCCATTTGGTATACCAATTCTCCATAAGGTCTAGGTGAGTTTGAAGGTTTGCGGAGGCTATGCATGGGTTGTCATTCATAGATATAATTACTTTATCATCGGCATAATCTGCTACTGATGTATTTGGTGTGATTGGTTGATCTGCTGCGAATATAAATATAATATGTAAAAAAAAAAAAACAAATATATAGACTCGTGATGATATTACATTTAAAACATGTTCGAAATGTACTAAAACACAGCTCATTTTATGTTTTATACGAAAAGCATATTAACAATGGATCAATACATTTTCTATATGATTTTTATTTAAAGTTAGAATTTATACTTTTTTTTTTAATATTTTATAAAGTATTTGTTATTTAAAAATACATACTATGATATTGTAGGGGCAGATCGATTTATTATAAAAATATTTCAAACTACTTAATTTGTTCAAAATTTTCATTCAATACAGCTTTAGAGTTTATATAACAAAACATCGTGCATTTAATCTATGCAAGAATCAAGGGAAAAAACAACATACTTAATTTCAAAGATTTTTTTTTAGTTTGGTAGTATTAAATATAAAAATTATTTATAGAAACACAAATAAATAAGTTTATGTATTGAGACGACTTTTTTGGTATAAATCAGTAAACATGATGAATCGTTCAAATAATTTTTAGTTGTAAAATCATTCATTTTTTAAAGTAACAGGTGCGGATATAAGGGGGAAACATGAGAACGATGCCCCCCCAAATTTCATGAAACATAACGAAAAAAAACATAATATATGTCAACAGTGCTTGACTTGGAAAAATTTAAAAAAAGGACTCATTACTCATTTACTTTTTTAAAAAGAAAGCGTTCCCAAAACTTTTTAAGTATTAAATTTTAACGTAAAGGTAAGTAGGGGAATGCTTAAATTTCTAAAAATTATTTGAGGTACTCTGGCCCCCTGCTTCCCTCCACAAGTCAAGCACTGTATGCGGTATCAGTCTGGCTCGTGATTAGGCCTCCGGCAAAAAATTTGTAATGGGCCCTTAAACAACATAATATTGGAGTAAGATTCAATAAAAACTTACTAAAAAAATTTTTATTGCTACGCTCAAACTCGACAACAAATATTAATTTATTTTTGTTTTTATATTTTTCGAAGTTAATATTATAGAGTTATCATTGTGTTCGTATATATGAACGTTAACAATACTTATCTCAATTTTTCAAAGTATTTATATTTATTCGATTTTGATCAAGAGAACAAAAATATTTAAGCTATAGTGGTTATACCTAATTCTATTAAATTACGTAAAAAATACTTCAAGATTAAGATAAGAATAACATAATTTTAATTTAATTCAGGAAAATAATTCTATGATTTTTCATGTTAGCGTGGTTGCTTTAAGTCCGGGAGTGAATTTAGGAGAGGTTCAGGAGGTCAGCTGACCTATAATTAATATTTGTTGACCAAATTGGCCTCTTGAAGACTTATATGTTTTAAGTGTACCGACTATAAGTTGAAATTAAAAGTAAATTGACAAATGCCCCAGTTTTGACTCCTCCCCCCCAAATGATACCAATAGTTTAACTGTATAGTAAAATAAAATATCTCTATGCCAGACTCTATAAGGGATTCCATAAAATAAATGACAATCTATACAATTATAATTATGAATAAACTTAAAAAACAAATATTATATAATCATATTGTTTATTTTGTTTCAAGGAATACATTTATAACCCACTTTCAACTCTAAAAAGTGGCCTCTTGAAATAGCCTGACTCACAGTTCTCTGACTGTGGATCCGTCGCTGATTGGGCCCCTATTTTGATTTTTTTGACAACTAAGACTCATCAATACTATAAATAAATGAACTATAAATGCGAAAGAAAACGTGTTACAGGGTGGGATTTTTTTTTAATTATTAATTATTATTATATAATATGAATACTTAAATTATTTCAAAGAGAATAACAAATTGAATTATTATTTAAAAAATATTGTGGAATTCGTTGAAAACCACTCCGTATATTATACATATAGTATTATAATTTTTTTTTTAATAATTACAAATAAACAACATAACTTAAGTCTCTAACTTAGGATTGGCAAATTGATTTATTACGTCAAGTTGGCAAACTCCGCCCATTAAATCCCTTATAAAAGCCCATACGGGTTGATACAGCGCTCGCATTCACCTTCTATTTTTTTAGAGACGGGAAGAACGTAGCAGTTCATGCGACAATACTCATAAAACAGATATAATCGTCCGTTAATTTTTCCAATAAAATCGCATTTACCAGGCAATGAAAAATTTACAAACACAAATAACAGCACTGCTGTTGACAATAACGTTTTTCTTCACACATGCTATACGTCATGGTAAGTAGTTATAACTTATAAGTTTACAATTAAAAAAAGAAAATATAAAAACGTTGATTTTAATAAGTATTTCATAAAATTATACTAAACATTTATTTTATGAAATTTTGGATACTAAAATTTTTCTTTAACTTCAACTTACCATAATTAGTTTACCGATTAGTTGAAGTAAACTTTTTTTAAATCTAAACAAAGTGATTATCATTTAGATTTCATGTAGGTGAAATAAGTAAATCCTAGTATTTTACAAATATTTACTGTTTTAAATTATTCTTTCCTAAAAGAATCATTTAATTTTTATTAAAATATAATATAAATATGTACATATCATTATTTATTAAGGACAAGATATATTTTTTGACAAAATATTTCTACCATATTAATGAGCAAATAGCAAATAATTAATAAGTAATTTTAAAATGAATATAAGTTAGATAATAATTTTCTGAATATTTTTAATTCTATTTTTCCACATTATATGTACAAACTAAATTGAATTTTCTATTATTTTATTCGTGGTCACATCAGTATAAATTTGGTATGAATTTAACTAATCTAAATGGATTTTAATTTGTTACATTCGATAATTTTGAAATTGATGTTTGACATGGCATAACTAGTTTAAAATTTATTAATTTAGCTGGACGATTTTGTAGTCAATATAATTAATCTATGACTATAAGTAAATTTATATATTCTTTCCAGAGATTCAATTATGTTCAATAGATTTATAATTAATGGTCCAATAACTCAATGTATGATGATCGTCGGTGTATTTACACCTTTGAATCAGAATAAATAATACAATTTAATGGAAATACATTTTCTTCAATACAAATAATATTAAATTAGCTGTATTCAAAAATTATAATTTTTTGTACATATTAATTTGTATATTTATTTGAATTTATATTTTTTTTGTTTTAAAATTCTTCATTATTAAGGGAAAAATATTTTTCAATTTTTTTTTGACCTATTTTTATTCATGATATTTCGTGTTAACATTAAACCTAAAAATTGTAATTATATAATGGGTCTAAATTTTTTAACACTATAAATTATAATCTCACATCAATATATTCGATTTTAACAAAATTTTACAGTGAAACTACATTATTATTTACGCTTGGTTTATAATCATGAATTGGTAAAATAATATTTTATTTATTTGTTATGAAATTATAATTTGTTGTTATTTAGTATTTCTCTTCAATTAAACTTATTTATAAAAGCAAAACTTTTTTGTCTCAAATAATACATATTAAAACGTAAATTTTTAATCTAATGAAGTATTTTCTTCAATATGAAATTCAAGTTTTTAACATCAATAAAATTTGTGGTCATTATAATTGTACATAATTGTCAACATACTAACTAAAAGCATTTTATTCACGATTAATTGAAGTGGATATACTTAGTATATATATATACATATAGAATCTGATTATGGATTATATTTAAAATTAAACACATAAGAATAGTTAATAATATTTTATTTGAATAAGAATAGTTCAAAATTAACACTTCTGTATATTTTTTTTATTTAAAAAATGTGTAAGAACAAATTTTGATATATCTATTTAATAAGATAAGATAAATAAGATATTTATTTAAAAGCATGCGTTTTTATCTTAAGTTCTTTACTTTTTTAAATTTAAATTCTCCGTTGACTGCTAAATTCTATAAAAAAATGTATAAAAGGCAGGAAATTTAAAATAAAAGTATAAAAATTTAACTTAATTGATTTTAAATACTTTTGTTATTTTTTTTTTTTAAGTAAATAATATTTACCATTATATAAACGTAAGTATCTAATGTTTTTATTTTGATGTTTAAAAATAAGCGATGTACAGCATAAGTAAATTCAGGTTACTTGAACTAGAAATATCTTCTTTGTGTAAAAATATGTCATTTTCGGGTAATGCAATTACTTTTTAAGTACAATGTATACTTTATTTCAGTGAAAATCTAATTTTAAATACCCCAAAACTATATGAATGAATATTATTTTAAAAACTCAAATGTTTGAAATAAAAACAAAATATAATTTACTTTATACATAACTTTAATTTTATTTTCATAGTTTAGAAAAAAAATTTATAATAGTAAATATCATTTATATATTACATATAAATATTTAACGCAAAGTATTTAAAATATTTACACGGATAAATTACACCTTGTCAATGATATATACTGACTTAAATTATAATTGTTTTTTTAACATTTGATTTTAATTTTCAATAGATTAAATAATTATATCGATTACAAAAACGTCAAATGATAAAATAATTATTTTATTTTATAAAAATAAAAAACTAACCATAGAACAGGAAGTCACTAACTACTCTGTAATAAAACTTTGTTTAAACAAATATTAGTGCCTATATAATGTATATATGTTCACCCTATTGTTGCAATATTATATGAATCTATTATTCGGATAAACAATCATTAAAATATACCTTTTATATCTATGTATAAGTAATATTAATTTTTCGTTGTTAGATTAAATAATTTTCATTATTATTTTACACATTAATAAGTTATGTGTAGGTAAATATATGCAAATTTGTATGGGAAAATAATACAAAAATATTGTATCAAAAATTAATTTTATTTGAGGTATTTATAAAAAATGATTAATATAGTTATAATATATATATATATATATATATATGCATATTATATTATATTACATTATATAAATCATTTTGTCACAAGGATTTTAATTCGTAATTTTTTTAAAAAAAAAAATAAAAAAATAACATTTAAATAACATAATAATAACGTAAACACTGTCGCCTTAGCCAACTTGTAATCATTTAACCTTATTTTATTAAAATGTATTACTAGTTTTATTAAATACCTAATATATTAACTAAATTTAATATATTTTTATTTTTTTATATGAAAAATCATTTAGTAAGAACTTTTACCATTTAGATATTAATTATTAAAATGTATCCAAATATTTGGCCATATGCTATGTTATTCTAATCTATTGGTATAGTACTTGCAAAGTTTAAAGCAAAGAAAAAAAAAATATTTACTAGAACTACAATTTTGATTCATCAATATTATTAGAACCATAATTAAATTGTTTGAAATTTAGTTCAAAAATTATAATATTCACCACAGTTAATAGTTTACCTAAGAAAAGTTAAGATTTTTGAAAATCATTGACATTATATTAACTACGAATCCCGAATTTTTGGATTTGTAGTGTTATATCTTTATACGTAAATAAGTTTAGGGTTATAGACGATTTTTTCTGATAATAATATAAATAATACAATAAATAAATTTGAGGAAGTAACTTATATTCAATTTAGTGTTTCAATAAGCTTGATGTAAGTAGATGTATAGTATTTTATTATTGAGTATCATCGACGATATTGACAATATGAATAATAATCATCATAAAATAAAAACTACGATAGTTGAAATTGGTAATTAATTTTATTAATAATAAAAACAAATAGATTTGGTTTAAAAACTATAAAATATCTGTATTTTTTGTATTATTTGGGGTGATATTTTCTATACATATACGATGTACATAGAGTAGTTTATTATTTTGAAAGATCACCCTTCAGGTATTATAATTTAAATTATTGTATACATATACATTTATCCAATCCATTGGATTTATGGCGACGTGTTTAGGATTTAAGCACTGAACAAACGCTCATTTATTACATATTATCGTACCCGTCAAAAATTTCATTCTCCTATGTGTTATATATATAATTATTATGATTTAATAAAATTATTGATATTACAATATTAATAATTAATTAAATAATAAAAAATAGTAATTGGTTAATGCTCATAAATAAAAATATAGCTTGGAATATTATTATATTTGTAAAGTACGATCAATTTCGAATTAAAAATTCATCGTCAAGTATATAAAAAGTCAATAAAATCGCAACTGAATATGAAAAAAATATGGTTAAACATTTATTTATTTATTATTAATATTTGTTTAAATAGTTTTATGCTTCATATTATCTTACATAAAACATTAATACGTTTTGTTTTCACCATTTGAATTACTATTATTATTATTATTAATTTATAAATTGTGTTGTATATAGACCAGTGATGCCCAAACTTTTTTCCTTGACGGTCCACTTAGGTTAATAATTATTTTAAAACGGATGACCAAATAAGTATAAAAGTTATTATTCATCAGCAGGTTTTCTGTGAAAAAGTTATGACTCGAAAATTGTATAGGTCTTGTAATAAAAGCTGTTAATTTTCGTAGTTCTCATGGTCTTACTCATAGACTGTTTAAAAGTTTTCTTCTCAAAATAGAAGCCAAGTACAGTGATATGGCGTACATATTTGGCGTATCATGTTTGATGGTTATGTAGAAGAAAAGGTTTTGAAACGATTTTTTGATCTACGAGAAGAAATTTAAATGTTCATAATCAACAAGTGAAAACATATTTTAGAACTTAAAGATTATGGGTTGTGGAATTTAACATTTCTTACTGACATAACAACATATTGATAAAAATTAATAATTTACATGTTTAATTATACTAAAGGATTTGATCCAAAATTAAAATTATTTATTGATTTCAGTAATTTTGAAAACTGCCAAATATTTAGGGATAAATAAATCAAGTACAAAAAAGTGAGTTGTAGATATGTTAAACAAATTGCAAACCGATATTTCATCTTGATTATCGGTTGTTAAATTACACGAAAAATCGTTGCATTTATTTGAAAATCAATTGATTATTGATGACATTTATGGCTAAACTTCTTTTTAATTTGAGCATATTGAGTTGAAAATAACTTAATTTTACTGTGTTGAATCTTAAAAAATTAAAAAGAAAACATATTTTAAAATTGTATTCAAAACTTTCACACGAATTTTTCACCTTGAATTGAGACATTATAATGATAATATTTGGATGGACGTAAATATGCTATCGAATATTTTCACAAATGGAAAAAACAAATTTAGTTCATAGATTGCGAGTTACGGATAAACACTTTAATTCAAATTTTAGGATTGAAGTAACTAAATTCCAACTATATTTTTCATTATTATTAAACAAAATACAAGCTAAACATTGTACATTAAAAATAAATATAAAATATTATTATTACAGTTTTTATTGTATTTTTGGAATATTTAATTGACATCATAATTTATTTAAATCATATTTATAAAGACTGTGGAATAGTTTATTAGTTAATTTAACTATAATACATTTGTATACATAAAATATTATTATTAAATCCTTAAGAACGGTACAACTTACCATTGAGATTTAGATTTAATTTGTATTAATAAGTCTTTTTAGTCTCTTAACGAGTACTTATTGAATATTGATAACAAAAATAATAAGTTATTTACTAATATTTTGTAGTTATTTCTCTTTTTTATCGTGAGAAATGCGATAACGAATTAATTAAAAAAATTATTAGAAAATTTTAAATGTTAGTATTATAATAATAAATTTTAATCAGCACGAAAATATATCGCAGTTAGGTTTTAACTTAAATATTAGTTCACATATTATGACCAACACACTATTATGAATTCATATATTTTAAGTTATAATCATAAGGTTATATTGTTATGAAATTAAAAACTAAACTATTTTACTATACTGCAGCACCTATACTCAAAAGTAAGGCATGATTTGTTTATCAATGTAATGCATTTTATGAAAATGATCAAAGTATTAATCATTTTATAATATTTTATAACATTTTAAATAAATAAATAATTAATATTTTAAAATAATTCAACTATTCAGAATTGTTTTCCTTTTTTTAAAAAGTTAATACTTTGTAGATACGATGATATAGTACTTACTATTGATTAAAGAATATGATTATTCTATAATCAATGGTTATAGGTATAAAATAATGAAACTATAATGAATACACCTAAAGTAACAAAATAAACTTCCAATTATATATGAATTAATGAAATATGTTAACAGATGTAAGTATTAAATTCGTATTTATGACGAAAATGTGTTCGTAAAACTAATTTTGTACGTATGTAAACGTATATGTATACATACCATAATTTGATTAATTAATATATCAAATACATGATTGTGCTGAGTTTCTTTTAACACGCTCTATAATAAATATATTTATTAGTGGCTAGTATCTATTTTATGTATGCATTGCAGATTTTTTTGCATGTGAAAGTCATAATTATATTATACGAGCTTAACATTACATTGCGTGTGCTCTAGGTCTGTGTAGAAAAAAAATAAACATTCATTAAATTATAGCGTTGTAAAGTAAGACAACCAAATATTAAATTCATTATCGTACTACAAGTATAAAAGGTTAAAAAATGATTAAATTTACGTTATGAATGAATCTTCACGAGTGTACACATATTTTAACCCTTTGCTTTAATTGAAACCCTAGCTTGTGTACATTATATTTGTTTAGAATTATAAAATTAACAATTAGTTTGTAATAATCTACTGGTGCAATATGCATAATAATAAATTATGATTTTAATATTATTCAGGGAAATAATCACGTTTAAATAACTTAATTATAAACAACACTTTAACTATATGATTATATCGTATATAAGTTAAATATATTTTTATGGGTGAAATTCATATTTCTTCATTATGTACAGTTAGATGGCTTATATATTATACTAAAAAGTTTCTTTAAATTTTAAATTTTCAACATAGCAATATATTAAAATCGATTTACAGTAACATGTGAGCATTGTAAATGTCTTGTAATAATCAAAGATATTACATGATAATATGAAGGATATTCAAGCTTAAATAATTTATTATTATTTTTCTATAGACTCAGAATACAGCGATGAGCTAAAACGTGATAATAATAGAAACAGAAGGGAATCAGTTGCAGGATTGATACCGTTTCCTAGAGTCGGCAGATCGGGAATCAATTCTGGTTTACAAATGAGCAATTTATGTATGCATTTTATATATAATTTTAATGATAAAATTTAAATAAATATATGTGATGTGTATTCAAACACCGTGTATGTTAAAGTGGTAAAATTATAAATAGTCAAACTTTTAGATGAAACACAAAAAGAACTGAGAGGCCATAAAAGAGAGGGACTTATTGCATTTCCTAGAATTGGTAGAAGAAGTGATTCAAGAAACACCGCACTTTGGTTTGGTCCAAGGTTAGGAAGATCCGTTATGTTACCAGAAAACTATGATGTGTCTTACATGGATTCAGGTAAAATATTTAATTAGGAGATTTTACATAAAAAATCTCCAAACTTTAAAATTATTTATAATAGTAAAAGTAGTACAACTCTTGATCGGCTGCATCTGAATTGGGTTTCGAATTCAAAATTACTACACTAGTTGGGTCACTGATTTTTATAGGTACTACACTAATTCCTGAATATTTTTTGTTAAGTACTATATTATACTAACATTTTCCTTCCCATTTTAACAGACTTAGGACTATATATGATCTATTTAGGCCACAGGTATAGTTAAAATGTTTTTTATAGATTTTTTTTTTTTGTTTTTTAGTTTCTTTTCCATTAATTTCTGTTTATATTATATAATGATTTTAACATTTTTAATATTTTTACAAACTTAATTCTAATAATTTATATTTTAATAGAAAAGAAACTAAAAAAAAAAAATCTATAAAAAACATTTTTAACCATACCTGTGGTCTAAATAGATCATAGATAGTCCTAAATCTGTTAAAATGGGAAGGAAAATGTTAGTATAATATAGTACTTAACAAAAAATATTCAGGAACTAGTGTAATATCTAAAACAATCCGGGACCCAACTAGTGTAGTACCTATAAAAATCCGGGACCCAACTAGTACACTACCTGCGATTAACCCCTAGTACTCAGGACCCAACTCCGATGCTCCGTCTTGATCATAGTAAATTATGTTCAATTATTCTAATATTTATATAGTGAACCAACCAATATTTTGCGTAGAGCTTAGTTTATGATAGTGTTTAAATTGATTTTTTATATTGAATTAGATCATCAATATAGACAATATAGATTATTATAGATATTTATTTATTTAATATTGAACATAATAATTTAAAGTCAGAAGGTTAAATGTCATAATTTTTATCAACATAAATCCTAAATGAAATGTATTAAAATAATCCTACTTTAAAATTGAGTAAATCAATTTTACAAATATTTCATAAAATAATAATTACATTGTGAGTTCCAATGTCTTCAAATAATAAATTAGATTGTTCAAAATATTATTTAAAAATAAAAAAAAAACATAGAGACTGTAGAAACTCAAAATTTAAGAGTAAATTACTATGGCAATTATATAAAGAATAAAATATGCTTTTCAATTTATTTGGGACAACATTATCGCTTTTTAATATTTGTTTCAGATACGCCAACGATCATAAAAACGTTGATTGAAATGAAAAACAAAAACTTTAGCGAGGAAGAAGACAATTTAATGTAACATTTTGTTGTGAACTTTTCATTTTCTTAAAATAATTTCTTAATATTTATTAGTGCGATTTTAATAATTTAGAAAACTGTTAAACATATTTGATACGGAATCTTATTTTGAACAGAATTCGGTAGTCTCGATGTTATAGATACAATAAATAAATAATTGTTTAGAAATAATTTAATGATCATAATAATTAATAAATAACTATTGTTATTTCAATGTATGTATTATAATTTATTATTATTTTTAAGAAAGACAAATATAAATTCCTATTCTCCAGTGTTGTACGTAGTAATTTTTCCATGGTAAATGCTTCAGCAAGACAAGAGTTTTCTTTTTTTTAACACAATCTTATTTGGTTGTTTATATATACGGACCATAGACGTGCGCAGACATGTATTTCAGTTTCTAAAATACTTTTTGGTCCTATCTTAACAAAACGTGTAGATATATTTGATAAATTATAATGTATAAATATTTAAATATACATAGTTATTTTATTTAATATTATGGTATATTAGTTCCAATGAATATGTTTTCCTTGAATCTCGTACATTTTTCTCAAACAAATTAAATTACTTATTATTTGTAATTTTGAAGTCGATTACAGCTACTATATGAACATAATAAGTTTTTGCATTAAAATTCAGAAATTTTAATTTTATTTTTTACATATAAGTACTACGAAATAAATGACATTTAGTTTTAGAAAAAAATCAGTTAAAATGCAGGCCCCTTACTCTGAGATCCAAATTGTAGGGCCTTTTTACAACATTTCGGGAGTGCTCGGGTATTAATAGCACTCTATGCAAACGACTATAATACAGTCTCTGCATTATAGCCTTCCTTCAATGCTAATTATTATTATTATGAAACAATTAATATGAAAAGTAAATAAAACCCTTATTATTCTTTCCGTGTATAATATTCAAAATAGTCAAAATAATAAAGCATATATTATTACTATTATTAATCCGATTAGTTATAAATGTATGATGATTTTAAAAATAAATATAGTTAACTGCAGTGACATTTCTTTTTTCTAAGGTAGACTCACCTCTAAAGAAATTGATGCACAGACAGTGGCGTAGCCAAGGGGGGGGACTAAGGGGGCTATAGCCCCCCCCCCATGAGCCGTGTTTATATATATAATGTATCTTGACTATTTAATAGAATCAATGGATGCTCGTTTTAATCAAAGGCTTATTGATGTTATGCCACTTGAAAGACTTATTCCGGCCAATTTAAATATGTATGGCGATAAAAATATTATAAAAACTGCTAAAATATATGTCCAAGATCTCCATGATGATACCTCAACTACAATCAGAACTAACCTGTTCATATGGAGGTAACAATGGAGTCAAAATACTATTCCAAAACCGAATTCTGCTCTTGATTCACTCTATCATCACACCAATCTTCGACCTAACATTAAAATACTTTTACAATTATTCGCCACATTACCAGTTACCTCTTTCACTCCGGAAAGAACGTTTTCAGCACTCAATCGCTTAAAAATTTTTTTAAGAAGCACCATGTCGGAAAACAGACTGAATGGGTTAGCTATGACTAATATAAATAAAAAAGAGCAATTCGATGAAAGTGAAATAATAACTGAATTTGCCAGAAATTCGCCTAAGAGGATGCAGCTATCAGAGTGGAGCAAGTAACTCAACACTAAAACCAAAATTATTATTATTATTATTATTATTATAAATTATATATTAATAAATATTTTAAAACTATAATAAAATGCTTGAATTACGTTTAGAAACTTGGTGGTAGATGGTGAGGGGGGTTAAGGCTTAATTCTCATATCCTCTCTTACCTTACTTATCCAAAAAAGTAGTTAGCCCCCCCCCCCATTTAAAAATCCTGGCTACGCCACTGTGCACAGATATAAAAAATATACAATACACGAGTATGTGTAATAAAAAAAGTTACCAATGTAGAATTAATTGTTAATGATTTTGAAAATCAAACGAAAATTTGAAAATTGCCAAACGATAATCAATGGTCAAATTTTTAGTATGGCTTTCGCATACAATTTTTAGTATACATGTTACGCCGAATTTATGAAATTGCGGATTTCATGAAATCAGCAACATTGTCGTCGATTACTTGAAATCGGCAACTCAAAGTACATAATACTGTCGATTGCGTGAAATCAGCAAGACCCTTCTCAAAAAATTATAAAACATAATTTAATTTAAATAAATGTATAAAACTTTGGAAATATAATAAAATCAAATTATAATAATAAATATTATATGTACTCGTATTTAAATAAATGTGTAAAACACCGGAAATATAATAAAATAATAAATAGATTTTAATGTGTAAAACAAGTATAAAAAAAAAAAAAAATGTATTATATTTAAATATTTTGACAAGTATGACCTGGGTGACACGCCGAATTCGGTGAAAACTATGTTTGCCCGACACCACGTTTGCCTGAGGTTCGACAATATATTTTACATATTTTTACTGTACATAATACTAATATACAATATTTTATTACATGTATTATTATTATTTATTAATATACAATGAATTAAAAAAAAATACTAAATAAGACGAATATTTTATCATAGATATTATCGTTCTATGTGAAGAGGTACTAAATATTAAGTATAGTATAGTATATTACAGGTGCGCTTACAAAAAAATATTTTGGGAGGAGTTTTAGGTTGTGCATTTTTATAAACATGTAATCCATATACTAAATTTACTATATAAAAACATATTTAATAATTTTTCTGAATTTTGAGAGGGGTTTGAACCCGTAACCCCTCCCCCCTTGTGTACGCACCTGGTATATTATATTATTAAGTTCTCAATCGTGTTACCAAAAATAACGTTTTCAGTCGTTCCGTTCCCAATCGTATTTTACCACTATTCGCGAAAGATTCCTAAGAAAAGCTCATAACATTAAATTGTAAGTAGTATAAATCTTCGTGTTATTATTAATTTTTGACACAATTATTAATTGGATAATTTTAAAATTTAACATTAATTTGTAAATAACATAATAGCTATAATATAATATTTTATTGACATTTTTAATAATTTTTGACACATATTTATTTATAATATAATTTGAGGTTGTCGGGCAAATGTAATGTCGGGCTAATGTACTGATCCTCTTTTTTATAACCCATATTTTTAACAAAAATGTGTTAAACCCGAGCAACGTTGCCAAATTGTATTCTGGAATACAAGCAATATAAGCAATTATAATGTTAAAACTATTGTATGATACATAGTAATGGGCATAATTGAGTGAAAATAATCTAGTTACTCGATTATTGATAATAATCGAGATACGGAGCCCGGTCGCCTAATTCTACATATTATTTACCAGTTTTAACTATTTTTAATTTTTACGTTACACTCTTATTGATATTATCGAATATCGATCCATTTTATCTTAATTGCACTTCATGACCACTCTTCCATACATTTCTCTCTGTGTATGCGTAGTGTAATTTTACTCTAACTACACATTTTCAACTAGAATATTATACGTGAGTTGCGAGTGTATAAAAATGGATTTTATATAATAAACACTGCAGTGGTCGCCGCTTATAGTGATCACATTCGTTTGAGAAAACTGTGATCATTATAACTGGAAATCACTATAAGCGGCGATT